CAGAGCATTTCTATATATCTCCCTTGCACCTAAAGGTCGGCTATGCATCTGGCTCACTTTAAAAATGCATCCTAGAAAAAATTACGGTTCATCGTAATATTTCAGTTTCTCCAGTGAAGTGATGTGAAAAAAGAATGGTCTTTAAGACATACAAAAATAATATTTTTCTGATAGTTGCTTAATTTATTTGCTTTGATTTGGCTCCTCGGTTTAGGGGACCTGAGCTGAGACTAGATCGAATAAAGGATGAACTAAAAGAAATAAGAATGTTGTGAAGAGCGAACCAGCAATAAAAAGATGAATTTGTAATGCATACACATGATTGGGAACGCGCAGGAGAGAATGGTGTTTACGGGGAGGCGGAGGCGGTGTTCTGAATAGGGTAGCCCAAGCTGAAGAGGCTTTACGATCAATTACAGGGGTAATTAACCATAAATAAGATATTATTTTATAATAAACTGATTTCGTCATCAACAGTGTCCTAGTTTAAGCTTGGCTGATTTATCACTAAAATAAAGAAATCTTGCGCATTGCTTTTTTTCAGCTTTTTTGAATGACATCTTCATTTTTCAATACTGCACTTTCCCCTAATAATGATTTTTCCAAATCAGGGTACTATTTTCTTTGCCATGCCCGATGGAAATGGTCTACTGTACAGCCTGGTTGGGCTGGCAGAGTCTCCCAAGTCAACGGGCCGCATCACCCGTGAGGTCGCTTGCAAAACTGAACACACTGAGTCGATAAAAGTGGCCAACTGGCTTCCAATAAGTCAACGCTTCGCAGTTTCCCGAGAAGTCATCCGTCCCGAGAAGCCAGATCCAAGTCTTAGGATCCAGGGGCTGGACTACGTGGACGTTCCTGCTAATGCACATAAAGACTACAAACTGTACTTCTTTGCATACAAAGAGGGTAACATCCTTATTAAAGTAAGAAAAGTGGCATATTTATTCTTAACTATATTTTAACTTACTACTATAATAGCTTCACTCTAGACCACGATGACATCTATGGCTACTCAGTAAGTTTCATTTTTAGATTGTCAGGAACTGATGCTTCCTTGGTCTTCTAATAACTTCTATGTTTTCTCTTTTACTTACCTTTGCTTCGGCAAATTGATTGGCAATTACGTATTTTTTACCCTCCGTAGGTCACTTTCATAAATGAGGATACTGGTGAATACCAGTTCTACGAGCTGCAATTTCGTACCTCTCGACCCACCACTCTTTCCACCATCCGTCTTCAGACGTCTGTTCGTCGACCTGTCACTGAATCAATTCTACTAGAAAATCCTCTCACAGGGCCTGTCACTTTCCAACTCAACTCCAGCTTGCCTGAGCTTCAGTGTCCGAATCAACTGCACATTCCAGCTCAGCGAGAGGTCATTTAAGCTTAGAATACACCATTTGGGCAGTTATAATTGAACTATTATCCCTTTGCTCATTATCCTTCCAATCTGGCAATACGAGGCTTAATCTTGTTACTCCGATGTTTAGTATATGATGATCTTCTGAGATATAAAGAGAATCTGGGTTTCGAAGTATCCCTTAATAAATTGCTAGTGGCACACCATTCATTTTGTTTGAGAAGGCAGGTGAAAGGGATTTGTAGATTGGCCTCACCGGATACCCAAAGAGGGTTGCCTTGGACTTTTATCTGTTGAATGGTATGAAGAGAACCTCGGCTTACCGTCCTACAAGCTCGAGGACTCAGTACTGAGCATTCGTACGACATGTGATTGACATCTTTAAAGCCATAAACCATTATTCACGAGCAATCACCTTTTTTGGCTTAGAGTTTTTGAGTAACAAATCTCAGCATGCTTATACTCGCTAGGGAGACCAAGATTCTTCGAATAATAGCTCATTCGTAAGAATAAGTAAATATCCTAACATGTAAAAAGCTATGCTGAAAATATTGTATTTATCATAACCTAGTTAATCGATAATAGGCGCTAGTATTATTAGTGGTCCCGCCAGTCTTAATCAGCTTCATCGTATCTTCTTTTATTATCCTTATTTCTGCACCAGGGCTCAATACACTTGGAATTCCTTCCTTTACGTTCCGGTGACTTTACTGGCCGTCTAGAGGTCAGCTGTCCTGAGCTTGGACTCTACGCCTACCAACTGGCTCTGGTAGCGACTCCGGCCCCACCTGAACCAACACTGCCGTTCTCTTCTTGTAGCCTCGGCCAATCTCAGCTTAAGCATGTTCGTCTCGTCAATCTTTCTCGCTCAAAGGCTGAACTCACATGCAAAGTGGGTACCCATACACCGATGCGATTCCCCATAACCCTTGCTTCTTAAAATGTGTGTGCCAGTCATGGTTTGAAATTCCATATTAAAAAAGACAACATTTTGTCTTAACAAGTCTACTCCGAGCCTAGTCAAATCCGTATATAACCTGGAAAATATTGTTAACATAATAGCAGGGAAATTCCATATTCTTTTTAATCCTAAACAATTATATATGATGTTTATTGCTTATATTGCCGTTTGTATTATTACCGTTTAAGAGAATGCTTGTCGTTTAATTTTGACTAATTGATGCATGCTAATAATGGGTTTTTGTGGGAGTCGAAGAAGAAAACTTGAAATCATGAAAACGCTGACTGCTTACCATATTCTGTTGAAATTCTATGTGAAAGCAATTTTAGTCATCCTTTTACACTT